GCAAAGAAATTTTGTACAGCAGATGGTATAAAAGGTAGTTTGCTAGATCCGTTGAATGTGAGAAACTCAAACACCAGGAAGTAGATCCCATTGGCAGGAATGTCCCTGAAACATTGTGTGGGCAGACCTCGGTACATTCCTCTTAAGCCATGTAGTCTCAGGATGTCTGCAGCACCCTCCAACGGACCTTTGTAAAACTTGGCTGTAAGGGAAAGTGAAAAATTTCTTTGAACTTGTCCAGAAGATTTAATATCCAGCATTAACCTATTTTTATTTTATTTTCTATTTTTTTTAAAAGTTATTTTACATCAAGATTCAAAGTAGCAACACAAAAAGGTGCTAAAAGACTGTCTGATAAACATGGCTACCGAGGTGCAGCAGACATGTTCTGCGTTGTCAAGTGACAATCACAATTTACGTACTGATACATATACTTATACATTGTATTTCATATTCAAGAAAAGCAGTACAACTGCACCTATCACATAAAATAAAGTATTGTGTGTACTGACCTCCTTGGACGTTGCCATGTGGTATTTGTGACTGTAAAACCACCTTAATGACCTCTGCTGGGCATGCTGGAATCAACTGGACCACGCCCCCTAAACAGCCTGCAAACAGTATCTTGAGGTAGTGTGGTGCATTATTTTCTTCCTTGCTTCCACCAAGCGCCTTCAATGTGTATCCGTACACTCCAAAGTACACCGAGTTGATGACTCCAGCAGAAAGCATGGGCCAGGAAAGTCCACGAAAAAACCCTGTCGACTGTGACAATTGTAAAAATACATAAATTCATAAACCTAATAATTTACATTGTGTTTGCATTCCTTGGAGCATGTACAAATACATTGTTCAAAGATATGTTGTAAATTAAACCTCACACAATTTGCATTTCTCATAGCTCAGTCCTAAACATCCTAGGTCAGGTTGTTCAAAACTGGATTAGCTAAACCAGTGCTTACAGGGTGTAGCTGTAGCCCAGGAGGAAAAAATAAAGTAAGTATAAAAATAAGATGTTATTTTATACCGACATACATGATTTATGGAATCACATTCAGTATGCAAAGAGCAGACTTTTCTTTTTTCTTCTTGAAATTTGGTAGATACACCTGCGTACCTGCATTAATGTAGCTATGCACCTGGCTTAATGCAAATATTTAAATGCCTCGTTTGAGAGATATTTCCAAAAACCTATAAATTAGTGGGTTTTTTTTCTCTTGTCTATAAACAATAGCTTATATAACCTTCTGATCCCTTTACAATATACATGCTGGTTTAATTCAGTGCAATTTTTTATCAAGCTTTGAACTACTGAGCCATGTTTTCTAGCTGATCTGAGAAGCTCCCAGACCTGAAATCCAGGATCCCTCATAAAGCAAGGCCTGTGTCTAGCTTAATTTCATATACAAGTATCTATGGGAAATTAATGCACTGTACATTTCAAATAATAACATGAACAGTTGTCAAGGTATCAAATATACTGTATTTGACCAAATAAGCATCCCAGTTGATTAATTTTCGATAGAATGATAGCAGAACCTAACAAAATTAGTCATAACAGACTCATTTTTTAAAGGAAGTCAGTAAATTACGGTGAAAATATGTGAGGTTTGAACCAGAAAAAGGACAGAAGCAGTTTAACAGATATAAGCCCATGCCCAGGAATGAGCCTACACCTGTTTTCACATTTCTCCATGGAAGGCTCATATATATGCTATTCTAATTCATTTGAGATGTAACATAACATTTGATTGGTCATTCAAAATAATTAGTGATCATATAACCAAGAGATACTGTCTGCAAATTTCTAATTTGCATATGAAGCCCGAATGGTGATTGTTAATGACGTCAATGACTCCAATTGACCCTGACACGTCATGAAATAGATTATTCATGATGTCATGAACAATAGCATGACTGCGAAAGGCCAATGTGATGCCACCTCACTTTGAATATTCCTGATGTCACCAATGGTTTTGGCTTATTTGAATTAGAATGGGAACACCCGTACTGTATTTTGAAAATTGAGTTTTACTGGTGACGCAGAGTATAATCGCGATATACTGCCACAAATTTCAAAATACAGTAGGGTTATCCCCTAAGTTTATGGAGATATTTGACATAAATATCTATATTTTCAAAACTATAATGAGCTCTATAATAGCTACGAAGACACAATTGAGTTGTACTATTTAATATTATAAGCATTCAATTTTCAAGGATCTTTAATTGTTAGAGTCTGTCAAAAAAATAATCTGTTTTACTCATTTACACTGTAGAATTGCATTTCATATTAATGAACAAGACAAAATTGAAAGTCATTTAAGTTCACTGTTTTTAGGATTTAAACAAAGTTCAGTTGAGACAGGTCTGAGGTCATACTGTACAAACTGTTGAGGAGTACTAAGTACCTTGTCATTTAAAACAAGTCCTCCCTAATGATACTCACAAGTTTCTGTTTCCTCACTGTGGACACACAATCCAATAAAGATTTATACTTGTTCTCTGCGGATTGAACTTGTAACTGGACCTGTAGTAATAAAAAGATATTTGATTTCTAACGAAACACATCACTCTTTCTGCGTCTTCCCCACACCCAGGTTTGGATTTTCCTCAAAATTAAATCTACAATCCTAGAGCACATCAGAAATAAAAATACCAAAGCTTTCAAGTTTGTAATGGCCGCTAAGGTATCTAGTGTCTTTATTAAGAACAAGAGGCCCAGGGGCCTTAATAGCTCACCTGGTATTT